TTTATAGACATTTTCTATATTTCTTCATTTCTTTTTTTTTTAATTCAACAAGTATTGTCACTTATAAAAACAAATAATATTCTAAGAGATTTGTCATTAATTTATGTCGATTAGTTTCTTTATTTCTTTTGGTTGTTGTAATGTAATGTGTATTATTTAGAGATCTCTCGATCATGATGATGGTGTATGGATGAAACAGTCATATGATAAACCAATTCATCAGAAACAACTTTGCCACAAGCAGAAAAGCATACGAAGACAAATAGGAAAACATGAAGTCATTCACACACTGAACACCATCATATGTGTGTGTATGTGTGTGTGTATGTATGTATGTATATATATGTATATGTTTGTGTGTGTGTGTATGTATATATGTATATATATATTAATACTATAACTTTTAATATTAATATAATTTTAATTTAAGTGATGAAAGATTTTATGATTCTAACAGTAAACAGAGTGTTACTGTAAGGTCACGCCTGCTCAGTATGAATGCTTGAAAATAATTTATTTGAAAATATCCATTAGTAGCTTAAAAGTAATTAAATGTAGTTAGTTACTTTACTTTTATAAAGTAATTCGAAAAGTAGTGTAACTTACAGTATTATATTTTAAATCGGGTCATTTGAAATCTGTAATCTAATACATTTCCAAAGTAACCTTCCCAACACTGCTTGAATCGCAGGATTAAATGACATTAAAGTTTAAAAAATTAATGAAAAAAAACATGTAATATTATATAGATGTCACAATTTTTGTATTTTTATTTAAAACTTATTAAAATGGTTTTAAAAAATCTTCTATAAAAAATCTATATAGAGTATAGACATTAATGAAAATGTTGAGGAAAACATTCAAAGATTAACTAATTCTTTGTCATGAAAAATAAATAGATTTAAATACAAAACACTAAAATATCAACAACAACAAAACTTATACAATGACTCTAATTGTGCTTTTTACCATGGCACAATTAGAATAGCAAGGATTGGTAGTTAATGCTGTTTAGGTCTGTGTATCTGTCTGTCTGTCTGTCTGTCTGTCTGTCTGTGCATCTCAACAAGGCTAGAATTGTGCTCTGATCTTTCTGTATCTCCAATCAGCTTGATAGATGTTGCCTGAGTTAATTAGATGCTCACGCACACACACACACTCTTCATCCACTTCTGCATGTTAATGTGATCTTTATGACTGGCTGTCTGAAAGCGAGCGTCTGCGTTCAGTAATGAAAGTCAGTATTTGTCAGCTTGATGTAGATGCAGACCTTTATAAGCTGTAGAGCGTCAACACAGAAGTTCTGCTTATAACGCAGCACTTTTATTATAACGTCAAAGCACACAGAGGACACGATTATAATCACAATCTTCAATATGAATTCATGCACGATATTGGATGATGGCGATGCTTTGAGGAACAGATTCACACGTTTTTAGCATCGCATGTGTTGAGCTTCAAAACATCTGCAATTATTTGTGACTGCATGATTTGATGTCTGTAGATTTCTTTGGTAAATAACCGGAGTTGTTGTTGTCATCGTTTAAAACCATTCAAATACACTGACCGGCCACTTTATTAGGAACAACTATTCAGCTGCTCATTAACGCAAATTTCTAATCAGCCAACCACATGGCAGCAACTCAATGCATTTAGGCATGTAGACATGGTCAAGACGATCTGCTGCAGTTCAAACTGAGCATCAGAATGGGGAAGAAAGAAGTGACTTTGAACGTGGCATGGTTGTTGGTGCCAGACGGGCTGCTCTGAGTATTTCAGAAACTGCTGATCTACTGGGATTTTCACGCACAGCCATCTTTAGGGTTTACAGAGAATGGTCTAAAAGAGAGACATTCACTTTTCAAATTGCATATTTGCATTCACTACTTACTTTTATTTTTAAAATATCTTTATTATCTGCTTCTTGTCCTGTCTCTGTCATTCTGTTGCACTGTAGAAGCTCTGTCACCAAAACAAATCCCTCGTATATGTGAACATACCTGGCAATAAAGCTCTTTCTGATATTTTTGTCTAGAAAATGCTAGAATTTTTTAATATTTGGACTTGAAATGAGATTTAAAAATTTTAAATAAAGGCCATTTTGCTGTATTTAATTCTGCTTTGAACCATGTTTGAAAGCCCATGTAGGTTGGTAGTTAAGATGAGTGTGTGTGTGGTCAGACATTGTGTTCGCGCATCTCTCAACAAGGCCAGATTTGTGCTCTGGTTGTTTCTGCTCCGTCACAATGTGAACAAATAAAGCTCTCCTGCAGTTTATTCTTAGTCTCAATGTCACGTATGAAACAGTAGAAGCTCTGCCATTGTTTACTGTGGTATTTGAGCAGCAGGTGTGGCAGTAAATGCTTATAAATAACCCCATCACACACACACACACACACATCTGTTCACACACACACACACTGCTCAATGACATCTATAGTCTCTCTCCATGAGATGAGCTGCTTTAAAGCTGCAGATAAATGTCACTTATGACACATTAGTGGAAATCATCATTTCTGAGTCGCAGTGTTTCTGCTATTGCACTGCTTCTGATTGACATTTTAAGAGTTGTGCATTTTTTAACAATGTTATTAATGCATTTGATGGAGACAATGTCCAAAAAAAAGCAGTATTTCAATAGTGATGAGAGTTTTGATTTGAATATATCATTGCATCAAATTTTAATTGTTCATCATTAGTATTATGAACTCCATTAGAATTGTGTAAGGAATTATTGCAACCCAGGCTCATTATTAATACGTACCCCTGTATACATTTCTGGAGAACGCCTAATACGTCTCAGAAGGTACTTTATTTGCAGTGTTTGTTTTTGTGAATCCACCAGAGGCCGCTGTGTATGCTTTTCAGATCTCAAATTTCTCTCACAAGTGTCATTCATGCCTGCTGTTCTTGCGTAAATCCACCAGAGGGCACTGAGTACACTTTATGAGATCTCAAATTTCTCTTGCGAGTGCCATCCGCTCCTGCTGATCTGTATGAATTTACTAGAGGCCGCTGTGTATGCTTTTTTTCAAATCTCAAATTTCTCTCAGGAGTGTCATTCATGCCTGCTGTTCTATATAAATCCACCAGAGGTTGCTGTGTACACTTTGAGATCTCGAATGTCTCTCGCGAGTGTCATTCACGCCTGCTGTTCTTTCACAAATCCACCAGAGGTTGCTGTGTACTCTTTGATATATCGAATTTCGCTCGCAAATGTCATTCGGTCCTGCTGTTCTATATAAATCCACCAGAGGCCGCTGTGTACACTTTTTGAGATCTCAAATTTCTCTTGCGAGTGCCATTCGCTCCCGCTGTTCTACATAAATCCACCAGAGGCCGCTGTGTAAGCTTTATTCAAATCTCAAATTTCTCTCACAATTGTCATTCATGCCTGCTGTTCTATATAAATCCATTAGAGGCCGCTGTGTACACTTTTTGAGATCTCAAATTTCTCTCAGGAGTGCCATTCATGCCTGCTGTTCTTTCATAAATCCACCAGAGGTTGCTGTGTACTCTTTGAGATATCGAATTTCGCTCGCAAATGCCATTCGCTCCTGCTGATCTGTATAAATCCACTAGAGGCCGCTGTGTATGCTTTTTTTTCAAATCTCAAATTTCTCTCACGAGTGTTATTCATGCCTGCTGTTCTATATAAATCCACCAGAGGTTGCTGTGTACACTTTTTGAGATCTCGAATTTCTCTCGCGAGTGTCGTTCACGCCTGCTGTTCTTTCACAAATCCACCAGAGGTTGCTGTGTACTCTTTGAGATATCGAATTTCTCTCGCAAATGTCATTCGGTCCTGCTGTTCTATATAAATCCACCAGAGGCCGCTGTGTACACTTTTTGAGATGTCAAGATTCTCTCACAAATGCCATTCTCACCTGCTGTTCATAAATCCACTGTCGACTGACTGAATGACTGATCGAATGACTTACTGACCCTCCCTCCTCCTCTTAACCCAACCAGTAGTGTTTTCAAAAGCACCGATTGACCCGCCCACCCCCTTCCCTAAACCCAACCTATTTTCAAAAGCACAGATTGACCCGCCCACCCCCTTCCCTAAACCCAACCGACAGTGTTTTCAAAATCTATCCAGAAAAAGAAAAGCCTCCACCTAATTTTACCACGTTTTCAGATTTACCACACTTTCGCCCTCTTAATTTCTTGTTTGTTTTATTTTTTGGCTTTTGTTTTTGTCTTACCTGCTTTCTGAAGCCTTTCTTTACCAGACTCGAACCTTTTCGTCGCAGTCAACTCCACTCTGCATCTCAAGTCCACTGATATACATGGCGAGCCACTGAACAAACTGGTAACAACGGGAAAGCTGTCCACACGAAGGTTTTACTACTGGATTATTTCCTGCCTGTTGGGTATAAACTGTTCATTAGTGGTAATAAAGTAGGATCTTATTCTGCATCCCTAATCCTACCCAAAAATTAAACCCAACCTCTACCTTACTATTACCCACTAGTGACCATCTCTCTCTCATTAGCACAGACAGCCCTGAGGGAGAAGCAGCCATCCATTAGCCATTTAGAGTATTGAATCTGCCACTATGCTGACACAAAGGCAACTGTAGCTCCGCCCTCTTCTGGAAAAGAGCACAATCTCATTTAAATTTAAAGCGACAGTCACCAAAATGCCGCAATTAGGATCAAAACCTAAAAGGGTCCGGTTTTAGAGAGTTAGAAGACAGTATCTGTGTGGTATTTCTAGCTGAATCCCCACACACACTCTCTATGGGCATCCGAAATACATTTATATCATGTAAAAGGGGGCATAATAGGTGCCCTTTAATGCATTTTTATGCATCCGTTCCTGATCTGAACAAGTGCTGCTCGCTCTTCTGTGTTTTTGTGCTTCTGTCAGAATGAAGAGATGATGTTGTGACTGCAGATGAATTCTTCAGTAATGCAGGGTTCAGTGGTGATCTGAGCTCTTGATGCATTGTTTCCACAGGTCCTTCAGTGTGTGTGTGTGCGTGTGTGTGCGTGTTTGTGTGTGTGTGTTCACGCATCTCTGACTCCTGCTCTTCTATATTTACCAGGACAGTGAGTGAGATCTCATCTCCTTCAGTCAAAGCACACAGTCTCAGAGTCCTGCCTGGAGAACGTGAGTACTTTTATTGCTTACACTAATCCATATCTGTTTGCTTAAGGTGTTTTAGAGACTTCCAGTTTTATTAATGCAAAAAAAATCTGGGTCATCTTTTATTTTAAGACATAATACTTGCTATTAACAAGCCATTAACTACCACATTTAGCTTAATAAACGATTAAAAAGCTGCTAATTAATAGTTAGTAATGTAGTAGTTGTGTTTAGGTGTTGGATATATTAGGGAAGAAAATTATGATCATGTTTTATAATTGCTAATAAACAACCAATATTCAGGGCCATATAGAATCACAGTTTATTTATTTATTTATTTATTTATCTATTTATTTATTTATTTATTTATTTATTTAATTTATATATTTATTTGTTTATTTGTTTTCTTATTTATTTATTCATTTATTTATTTACTTACTAATTTTCTTATTTGCTTATTTGTTTATTTACTTATTTTTTATGTATTTACTTATTTATTTAATTATGTATTTTATTTATTTATCGCTATTTCTGTGCAGAATTTTGTGGTAAAAAATAAAATAAATTAATTAATAAATAAATTAATAAATTAATTAATTAATAAAAGATGGATTTTTTTCAAGATTTTTTGGGGGGACTATAGCAGCTGAAAGCTTAACAAATCAGATAAAAAAGATATCTTGTTATTTTTATCTGAGGTGTACAGTATACACTGCAAATGCAATTAAAATAACTTGTTTGGTAAACATTCTGACCCAAAGGAGAATGAATGAATGAATGAATGAATGAATGAATGAATGAATGAATGAATGAATGAATGAATGAATGAATGAATGAATGAATGAATGAATGAATGTTTGGTAAACAAAGCAAGTTTCTTATTTAATATATCTACTAAAAGAGAGAAAATATTGCTTTACAAACTCTATCATACAAAACTCATCTAAACATTTGCATGTTATTCAGTATTATAACTATAAATAATGAATGACTGGCTCAAAAATCTGTGGGATTCTGTGTGCGTACATTCTGTCTGGTCATACCCATATCTAAATAGTACAGCAGGCAATATGGCAGTGTTGACCTCATTCTTCACATAGGAACAGGCGCTGACATTGTGATCTTTTGGGTCAAGACTTCCAGTCTAAATCACTTCCATTTATTTTTAGACATTACAGATAGCTTGTTATGCTGCTTGATGTTGCAAACTGATATTTTCCTATTATACTATTCTACTTTTCATGCATATCCATGAACACACTTGTTTGAATGTTTTCTTCCATTTATTATTCCTAGTCATTTCTTCCATAGGAAGCTGAATCAGAGGTCCTAAAACAGTCGCAAAAACGAGCACACCTCCGCATTTTAGAGTAAGGTCGATAGTTAATAATGGGATTCGGTATTTTAAGGGCCATGAAACCCCCTCTTTCAGTGCAAGTCTACCTCAGAATAAAAAAAAAATGCTCCATGATGGGCTCCTCTGTGAGCAGAGGGAGGAGTGGGCGTGGCCAGCAGAGCAGGGGAAAAAGAGGGGAGCGAACAACTGTTGTCAGCTAACTCTCAAAATGAGACACAAACCATGAGGAAACCTGTGTTTTTATAGTTTACAAAGTTAAACTGCAAAGAAATAAGCAGTGATTTAATCCCCTGCTACATCTGTTATTCATAATTTCATATACACACACAACCACAATTAGTTATACCATCATAAAGATAATCGTGTTTATATAAACACTATAAATGGAGGACTTCTCTCCTCCTGGATCCTGGGTCTGAATGCAGACACAGTGGATAGAGGTGCAGCAGGTCTCCTGCCCTGTCTATTTCAACCATTAGCCCTGCCGGTAATCTGGATGATTTTAAACAGAGGTGAACACAGCAGCATGGATATAGGTGATGTGTCTGAATAGTAACGAACTCAACTGATAAAAGACAAAGTCCGCCATTCTCTAATTCTCGTACAGGCGTGTATCGGCCCTGACAGAATCGCAGGGAAACACATGCAACAAACCCCGTGGATCATGGAAACAAACACACTCGACCCGTGCAGTGCAGACGCGGTCACACTCAGTCATTGGGTTACAGCTTGGCAGGTCCGCCTAGCCTTTGGAAAGCACCTGCTCTCATGAATAACTAAATTTGCAGCATCTTCTCATTGGATAAGAAAACTCCGCTATGAATAATAATGAGCAACATGTGTCATCACTCCACTAGCAGATTTGCGCTATGTCACTCACTGATTTTAATTCTGCCCCAATGATGGTGTTAATCCCGGAAGATGAAATTAGCTGACAAAATTTCAAAATAATCCCGTTTTTACCACAATTAAAGCTGACAGGTGCTGATGTTGCCTTAACTGATGCTCAACACACAAATATGTTAACATCTCATTAAAGTCCTCTAGGGTTTCTTGAACTTTTAAACTGACGCCTAAAACAAGCCTAATCTCAGAGGCAAACTATTCATTATATCTTAACTTTAGTGGACTGACAAACAGTCATATACTGTAGTTTCTTTATTTTTCACTACAGTAAACTTTTTATTGTAGTATGAAATGTTCTATTTATTGTATTATTAAATGATTAATAACAGGAACTAAGAAAAGAGATCATATCTCCCCTGTCCTCGCCTCATTGCACTGGCTACCTATAAAATACAGGGTTGATTTTAAAATTCTTCTTTTCACTTACAAAGCTTTGCACAATTCTGCCCCAGCCTATGTCAGCGAGCTTATTAGGCCATATACAGCTTGCAGATTGTTAAGATCACATGATCAGTTTCTTTTGTCTGTCCCTCGGTCTCGCTGCAAGTCAAAGGGTGATCGAGCTTTCAGTGTTGCGGCCCCAAGGCTCTGGAACAGTCTCCCACTGAACATCAGAATCTCTCCTTCTTTGGATGCTTTTAAATCTAACTTAAAGACATATTTTTACTCTCTTGCCTTTGACTGATGCATGCATGTTATTTTTTATTATTTATATTTTAGTATTACTTTTAAATATATTTCATTGTATTTTAATACCAGTTATTTTTAGTTTTATTGTCTAGTTTATTTTATTGTAAAGCACTTTGGATCAACTACGGTTGTGTAAAATTGTGCTCTATAAATAAAGTTTGCCTTGCCTTGCCTTCTATAGATGCAGAAAAATACAGTATTGGATCATTGGGTTAGGTTGCTACAGTAGCTGTTACCAATCATAACAACTATAGAATACCAAAGCAGATTATTTACTTTACTATAATAGAGTCCAAATACAGTAAAGTATTTTCTACAAATTGTCACCTTGGAAGGTTCTTTCTGCATTCTGAATAATTTTTTAAATATAGCAACTATACAATCATCACAGCAGATTATTTAAATACTTTACTATAGTACAGTTCAAAACACTACAGTATTTACTACAAATGACTAGGCCTGCTATCCATTGTTTACCATGTTATAATTGTTACCATAGCAACTATATAATCACCACAGCAGATCTTATTTAGAAATATTGCCTTCACTATAGAATTTCTTCAAGGTTTGCATTATTTTATCTGTTGGACTGCGTGTGATATTTCTCTCTGATGGCAGATCAGTTTTAATATGCAGTAAAATGATCAAACACATTCTTGGTCTGGAGCAGAGTGTAATCCTGGTAAACTGGAGGATAGCCGCGTCTGCAGTGAGAGTGAGCGCAGGTGTTGCTGACTGTACTCTGCTGTGTTTTTTTGTGGTAAATGAAGCCATCCTTCAAACGTGACCTGATTCTGTTGAGTTCGGCCGGCGTGTGATTTATGACTCTCATCGAGAGACGCACAAATAATCAATTATTATTCCCGCAGCAGCTCGCAGAGGGACTCTCAGTGTTCTTGAACTCTACTATAGTAAAGTATTTAAATAATCTGCTGCTGTGGGGGTTTTATGGTTGCTATGGTAACACGTTTATAACAAACAAATTATACTAGGTCTGTAGTCAATTGTAGTAAACACTGTAGTGCTTCTGAACCATACTATAGTAAAGAACCAATAATTAATTTGTTGTGGTGATTCTATAGTTCAGGGGTGGCCAACCCTGTTCCTGGAGAGCCACCTTCCTGCAGATTTTAGTTGCAACCCCTTCAATCAAGCTGAGCCCACCTCATTCAAGAGATCTCGGAGCGATTGTTTTGGCGCGGATCTGAGCTCGATTGCTGGATTCACACAAACATATATATATATATATATATATATATAT